GGTGTGGAGCCAGTGTGGTAGGTCCTGTCCTGGGACCTGGAGGGCAGCACCCAACGCAGTCACACAAGGGCTCGTATTTCACAGTCACTGCAACACAAAGGAGGCAACAGACCAGACTTGGTTTGACAAGATCTTTCCGGGCTGCCATGTGGAGATGAGATCAAGAGCAGAGTAGAAGCAGGAGCCCTGTCAGGAGGTGGAGAAAACACCTGCTGGAGGGGGTGGCAGTGGGCAAGGGGGATCGCAGAGCAGATGAAGGGAGAGGGCAGGACTTACTGACAGATTAGGGACTGCACCATGAGAAAAGGAAGACAAAGACTCTTGAGGTTTTGGTTTGTCAGCTGGTGAGGGAGGGGATGACAAAGACAAGAAATTTGAAGTCCAGGCACACGCTCACCAAACAGAACTGAAACAGTATGTGGCACCCCCAAGAAGTGCGGGAATGCTCTGCTGGAAGGTGGAGTAACAGATGACCTTTACTAAGAGCATACCCTGGGCGAGGTTACTCTACGCTCTTGAGGTATAAATATCAATGCCTACATCCCCTCAAAACTCCCTTGATGCTCCCTGTGAGACTGAGGTGTCCCTCGCCAGTGAGTGGTAGGAATGGGGCTGACAGCGACAGACACCAGGAGTGACATACCTCACATGTCCATCCACCAGACTGTCACCCTAATTCCATAGGGAGCTGCCAAAATGTTCCAATGACAGAACAGGAACCAGCCAACCCTCCTAGGCCCCAGCACGGGCTCGCCTGTGAAGCGAGGATGGATTGGGTCACAATTCCAAGAGGTAGCGCTCCCCAGGGGCAGTCTGACTGCCCTTTCACTTCCAAGACGAGGCCTCTCTCTGGCAGGTTCAGGCTTGCAGGCTGTGTGGCCACCGGTGAGGTCTGCAGGCCAGCAACCACTGCCCTTTGGGATAACAATCTCCTCTCTTCCTGCCTATAGGGGCTCCAGGAGCAGCCCAGACTGGCCCATCAGAGCACAGCACACCCAGCTGGGGATCCAGTCAGAACAGACCGATACTCTGTGCTCCATCTGTCTTCAGCCTGAATCAGACCCGAGGGTTGGGAGCCAGCAGCTCTCCTGCTCCCAGTGGGAACACAGGGAGGCATGTGGATGGGGTGGCTTGCCCTTGGGTTCCACGTGTTGCACGGTCAACTATGAACAGCCTGACCTGAAACGCCCCCTTTGTGCTCCTTCTCCAAAGAATACTATGGTGACACCAGCAGATCATCTCAGTTCGGCTCCAGGACCTGGGGTTTCCCAGGCCTCTTTACTGTGCCACTGGTGCAGGTGGCATAACGGCTGATCTGGCTCTAGTTCAGCCTCTACCAGGGCTGCCAGCCTACAGAAGGATGTGTCACCAACCCACTGCATGTGCCCGGTTCTACCACTGGGTTAGATAAGCCTACTAGTTCTGTCTCAGATCTAGGTCCAGTAGCTCTGGTCCTGTTAGCTCTAAGGGATTCAGGATGATGTAAATCTATTTCAACAACCGTTGCAAGTTACAGAAGGGCTGCTCCAAACTACTCAGTCCTTTCTGCTTTTTTTCAGCCAACCAGCTATGAATTGTGAGAGACTCAAGCCAAACCTGCCTCCCAGGGACAGAATCCACTCAGGAGGGGTCGTCCAGCCTGGCTCCATGGGAGCAGTTCTGAGTGTGAACTGGAAAGTGCACACTAATGTGAGTGGGTGGGCATGAGGACACAGGAAATAGCTGTCAGCACCTGGAGGCCTGCAAGGCAGAGTAGCAGCTCAGCACCTCGCAGCCACTCACATTCCACAGCCACACAGCTATGACAGCAGGAGGGGGAAGCTTCCACAGTGCACAGAGGGCAGACGATGGCTTCCAGAGCACATGGAAGGCGGACAGTGGCTTCCAGAGTGAATGAGGGACAGATGACGGCTTCCAGAGCACATGGAGGGCAGATGGCCACTTCCACAGTGTATAGAAGTCACACGGCGGCTTCAAGAGCAGGTGGGGCAAACAGCAGCTTCCAGAGTTTGTGATCACATGAGGGCTTTGAGAGCACATAGAAAGCAGACAGTGGCTTTGTGGAGGTCACACGGTGGCTTCCAGAGCATGTGGAAGGGTTAGAGCGCAAGGATGTAACATGGCAGCTTCAAGAGCACAAGGAAGGCAGAGGGCGGCTTCCAGAGCATGTGGAGGTCACATGGCAGCTTCAGGAGTACAAAGAGGGCAGATGGTGGCTTCCAGAGCAACAGGATGTCACACGACTGCTTTGAGAGTACATGGAGGGCAGACAATGGCTTCCAGAGCATGAGGATGTCACACAGAGGCTTCCAGTGTGTGTGGAGGGCAGACGGTGGCTTCCAGAGTACAAGGATGTCACAAGGTGCCTTCGCGAGCACATGAAGGGCAGACGGCGGCTTCCAGAGTGCATGGAATTCACACAGTGGCTTCCAGAGCACATGGAGGGCAGATGGCAGATTCCAGAGCACATGGAGGGCACATGGCAGCTTCGGGAGCACAAGGAGGGCATACAGCGGCTTGCAGAGCATGTAGAGGGCAGACAGTGGGTTCCAGAGTATATGGAGGTCACATGGTGGCTTCAAGAGCACATGGAGGGCAGACGGCAGCTTCACAGAGGTCAGACAGCGGCTTCCAGCGCATGTGGAAGTCACACAGAGGCTTCCAGAGTGCATGGAGGGCAGACACTGGCTTCCAGAGCACAGGGAGGGCACATGGCAGTTTGGGAGCACAAGGAGGGCAGACAGTGGCTTCCAGAGTGTGTGGAGGTCACATGGCGGCTTTAAGAGTACACAGAGGACAGATGTGACTTCACAGAGGGTAGGTGGGGCCTCTGAGAGTGCATGGAGTCTTTTTGGGGCAGGACAATATGGAAAAACAAGTAGAGAAAAGCACCCAACCCTGCAGGAGTCCACACCCAGCCACCCCACAGACACATGTCACCATCCAACCACCACCAGTCCTACAGCTCAGGGCCTGGACACCTGAGTGGGTACTGGTCCCACCAGGCCCCTTGATTGTTGGAGGACCAAGGTGGAAAGTGTGCACCACCTGGAGCTGGAGCCCCCGTCCCTCCATGGGCAGACCTGGCACACCAGGGGGTCATCACACATTCCCCTTAACACCATGCATCCTCCATGGGGCCAGGGTATCTGTTGGGGCAGGGGTAGGGGCAGGGGCAGTGACAAGGTGGCAGGGCAACCTGAGGCACAGACAAGTGTAGTGGCAAAAAAAAATTTTGAAGAGCAAAATTGGGGCTAAGGAAGAAGCTACCCTTCCATTTAACCCCTGCCTAGGGCTGCTGGGCCCTCCTGCAGTGTGGGCAACACACCGTCCATGTCACTGTGAGCCATCAGGCTGAACCGGGACAGGGACAGTCTGATGATGGAGCACCACCCTAGTCAGCAAGCAGCAGGGACGATATTCCCTCTGTCACACACGAGTGCAGCCTCTGGGGTCAAGTGCACTCCCTTAATTTCTGGTAGAACTGCAAGCTCAGGTTGAGTGTGAACCAGGTGTGAGGGGAGAGACACCACACAGCTGGCTAGTAGAAAGCAAAAATAGGCCTTCCCCACAAAACAGAGTGAGCGGCTTCTCAGCGTGCGTATCAAGAGCCAGAAAAAAGTTGAAAATTGTATTCCTGAGAAGAAGCCAAGAAGTTGTAAGTTTGCAAACAATTATAACCGGTGATTTTGACAAAAGGTAAAAAACGTCTTTTTTAAAAACAAACATTTCAAGTATTTCCCAGATGAAATGGCGATCCTAACGCAGAAGCAAAGGGCAGGTGTGAGAGGGAGCAGAGGCCACGTCCATGTCAAGAACCAGTCCCAGGTGCTCTCTCCATGGGCTCTGGGCTCTTGGTGAGACAGATGGACAGGAGTGAGGCCAAAGCACACAGCCACGAGGGAGGCACAGACCTGGCACTGGGCGGCAGTCCTGCCCCCTCAAAGCAGCCAGCTTCTACTCACCACTGCCCCCACCTCAAGCCACGGCTTGATGGCCCCAGGGATGCAGGGAAGGGATAAGAGTGTGCAATTAGCAAGGAAGGGCCTTCCGGCTGTGGCCAAGAATGAGAGGAGAGGACCTCGACAGGGTCATGAGCCAGCCAGCTTGAGAGATCCCTGATGCTGAGAACACTAGTGGCTGCCTATGCCTGAGTGCACTGCTCACCACCTGTGCACGTGCAGCCCACAAGGACCCTGCTGTGACGTCCAGCTAGCTGAGTGACGCTACTCAGAGGAAAAGTGGCACTAACTTAATGCTGGATGTTCCAAGGGAGCAGTAGGAGACATCAGATGATCTTTTTTAGAAAAACGGAAACACACACACTTACTCTTTCAAATACCACACTACCCCAATTTTAGTCCATTAGTAAATTATAGATTATATTATTTGTGCTACTATTGTGGTGTTTAAATCTTGTTAGAAGATAAGCACCAAAACTATTAACAAGAACTGCAGAAAATGCTGTGGTTTTTTCCCCACAGCAGCCAAGTGCTATGCACTTAACAGGCTGGAGATTCACACCCCTTCCTCCCTAAACAACAAAACTAGCTGATAAACTTCCTTTCCTCCTATGAAACTGGGTGAAAAGAGATTCCGTCTGCCATTGTAAACAAAGGTATAGAAAAGGTAAGAAGAGCAAAACTCACTAGGGTTTCTGCACAGAAGAAACACAGCTGTCCAACAGGAAGCACACAGGCTCCCAGCTCTGGTCACCTGGGGACTATTGGATGCAGGGGCCACTGGGCCCCAAAACAGTGCACTGAGTCAAGGTCCAGCTGGGAAGAATGAGTGTAAGCTGGCCAGGCCTTCAGCCACCCAGAAAGGCCTCACTCGAGAGTAAATCTGCACAAAGTGGGAGAGTCACACGAGAGTCCCTAATGTCCCTTCCCCTGGGAAGGGAACGCCCTTAGGGTGCCTGCATTCGGAGCTAACACCTTCCAAAATCACTGGGCATTTAACCTTCAGCTCTCCAGTCCTTTCGGGGCTTCACCTGATGTTTAGTTCTTGAACCGTGTTTGTTCACAAATGTGATTGAATTTCCTGCAAAGAAAACATGGTCAAATTATACAAAAAAGCAACAAATAATTATTCTAATAAAGAATATTCTAAAAACATACGGGAAGAACTACATAACAAATCACGTGTGTGTGAACTCACACAACGTATTTTTTAATACACTCAAAGAAACACACCCTCAAAAAAACTAAATCAAACGCACTGCTGTAGAGTCAGACCCAACTCACAGCGACCCCTCCTTGGGTTTCCGAGGCGGTATCACTACAGAAGTAGATTGCCCAACCTTCCTTCCGAGGAGTGGCTGGTGGGTTTGAACCGCCAGCCTTCTGGTTAGCAGTCAAATGCCTTACATACTATGCCACCAGAGCTCTCTCACCCTCAAAGGTAGCCTTCTTTTTCCTCGCTAACATTTCAAAATAGTTGTGATGGTTATGTTTGTATGTCAACTTGGCTAGGCCTGGTTGAGTGGCTGGGCAGCTGGATGTAGTACTCCCCATGAAGAGACTGGTAATCAACTCCATGGTGGAATCTACTGGGAGCAGCTGAGTAGCTGCCTTTGGGTATGTGGTCTGCTTCCTGTATATGAGAAGTTTTGAGAATGGTCTCTAGCCTATGGCACGCTTGGACCCTGCATGTAGCTATGTCGTTGCTCAGCAGTCTGCCATGCTCTGCCGAGCTTGGGACTTACAATGGACTTAAGTTAATGGCCTGCCGTGTGGTTTGGTAACATCGGGACTGTGCCTTTTGACTTGTCAACCTTGGGGCTTCTCAGCCGCAGCAGCCAGTGAAGAAATGCCTTTCTAGCTCCAGTGGGCTGGGAGCAGGAGGCAGAGGTGGGCCCCAAGGTTGAGGGGCTTTCACTGAGCCCCTAGAGCCTGGCACTTTGAACTTGGACTTAAAGCCTCCAAATTGTAAAAATAAACTTCTGTTTGTTTAAGCCATCCCATTTGTGGTAAATTTCTCGTCAGAGTGGCACTAAGTAACCGGCACAGAAGTCAACACATTTTAGGTAGTTTTCCTGAAGAAAAGGTTTCCAAGCACAGGTCTATGGGAGTGCCCTTAGGTACTGCAAGTTCCCTGACACCAGCCCCAGGCGAGAAATGAGACACAATCCACGTGGAATGGAACGGGGATGCTCTCATCCCTTATTCACCATGTCACTAAGAAAAGTTAGCCACTTACTAACAAAATCTCTTCTTACAACAAAACAGTCACTTCACACTGCTTCCGTTCTAACACAAAGCAAGCTTTTCTCCCACGAGACGATTCCTTGAGGGAGTTGCTGTCTACACGCATCCTCACCTCTCTCTCATATCACTCATTTCAAACCAGAAGCTGCTGACTGGGGTGACGTAATAGTCTGAAACAACACCGACTCATGGGAGTTTTGGCTATGTCCAGCTAACACCTCAGTAATGTTCAAAATGGATGTCAGGAAATTATCCCTGGACAAATGATCTCTCAGTTGCAGTAACCTGAGTGCGAAGAAGCCTCTTACAGCCCACAGGGAAGAACTACAGGAGTGGTTTCACCATAGCGACTATAAACACCCACTCATAGGATGAAAGAAACAGTCAAGGGTCTGGACATTCCTGGGGTCCTATGTCACTGGAAGCTCTCAATGACACATACACGATTTACACCTGCCACATCGTGAACATGCCAGATGGTCGGGAGCACCATAATCTGGAGGGCCATCATAGGACTGACAGACAACATGATTTGTGAGTGGCTGTGGAGCTAAAGACACTGTGAGCATCTGTGTACAAAAACTTCGTGACATCACTAACAGAACAGAGTAATGCTTCTAAATATGTTGCTATTTTACAAAACGTGTAACTTTATCAAAGTATAAGGGCTCAATTAGTATGTTTGTAAGTAGACTACTGACTGCTGCAGGTAGATCCTTGAAAGCTAAGGCATCTAGGTTTTCAATCCCTACGTCAGGTTGGCCAAAATACCTACACAAAAACTGACAGAAAAATGAGCTTGCCTTTTGGCTTCAAGACCTGTGGCTGCTCCTGCCGCAGCCGACCATGCCCACCACTCCAGCCCATACCTGCTCACTCACATGGCATGGTGCGCTTTCACCTGAGTTCGGCAGTTGCGACCCCAATAGCAATCAGGACGGGATGTTACAGCCACTAAAGGGGAAAAACAAAAGAAAAAATCAACCACAAGTTAAGCTACTTGAATTTGAGGTGAGCCCCAAAAAGGAACAGCAGTCAAAATGAACAGCATTTTGTCACCCTACAGCTAGCTCATAGTTACAAATCAACTTGTGACATAGTTACAAATCAACCACACTTATGAGTGTCAGAATATCAGGAACCCTGTATCTTCCTGGGAAGAAGTTACAAGAAAACGCACAGGGGATACAGAACAAATGCTGAGTTAGGTGAACGCGCCCCAAGCATCTGACCATGAGAATATGGAGATCAGTGGAAAAGCTGTCACCATGTCACTAAGAAAAGTTAGCCACTTACTAACGAAATCTCTTCTTACAACAAAACAGTCACTTCACACTGCTTCCGTTCTAATACAAAGATCAGCAAGAACACTGAATTGAGAATTTGGTATCGTACAGTCTGCATGGAAAGAACACTGAACTGAGAACTTGGTATCATATGGTCCACACAGAAAAACACTGAACTGAGAACTTGGTATTACATGGTCCACATGGCAAGAACACTGAATTGAGAACCTAGTATCACAGGTATGGAGCAGCTCACAGATCACAAAGAAGGGAACCAAAAGATCAGGACTTAATAGATTTGCAAGAGGAAAGAAATGCTGAAGAACAACAAGCGTTGAGGAAGGGAATGAGAGAAACTGTCAAAGAATTTTACAGTGAAAAAATGAGCTGAAGAAAGAAGGGCTGCTTATGCACAGGAAGACAGCTCAGGGGGCAGGAGTCCATGGAGGGATGGACACAGGGAAGAGGTAACTATGGGGAGAAAGTGGGAGGGGAGCTGTTGCATTGTGGGAAACTGTGGTGAATGTCATGAGACAAAGTATATGTGAACTGCTGTATGGAAAGTGAATTTGCTCTCTAAACCTTCACCCAAATCACAATTAAAAAAAAAAGAAAAAAGATGAGCTGAAATTTTCCTAAACTAAATCAAAGGCTTTAGTTGCTTGGAACCATGGACCCTAATGCTGACTGTTTTGCTAGGGGTCACTATGAGTCGGGTCCGACTTGACGGCACATAACAATAACAATAACCAGATTCAGACAATAGTGAGATGTTAGCACAAAATAGATAAAGAAAAGAAGAAAAAAGATTATACAAACATGTTTCACTGATTTTCTGAGTAGAAAAGTCGTACCTATTCCCAGATAATCCAGAAGCTTCCACAAGTGGGGTTACTATCACAACTAACTAACAAATCGCCAATGTCATCCAACTCTTTTTCAACATCAGAACAAATTGTTATGATTCGTGTATTCTTTTTTAATGTATGCATGTATTAAATGTGTTAAGTTTATTATGTAACATTTCCAACCCCCAAAGACAAATAAAGATCAGATTTATAAAGAAACTACTAATAACATGCAGTGATAATGAACACTTTAAAAGGAAAATAAAAAAGAGGTACCTGACTTACGTCAGAACCAACTTAGGTGAGAGTCATTGGGACAGGAACCCTGCTGTAATTTAAGATTCCTGTAATTGCCTTAGACTGTACCAGATTTCTAGAAAGGAATGTTTAATTAAAAAACCAATTTAGGAAATGAAATTACTCCAGGTGTCCAGAGGATGCTGTCACCTATCTTTGTATCACAGTAAGCAGAGCCCGTCCCTTCGTAAACACCAGGTGGCTGACTGCTGCCTGCAATGGTGAAGCCCTCATCTCATCTGCTGCTCCCCAGCAGCCTGCACCCTTCCATGGGCTCTGCACAGTGAAGCCCCACGGACTATGTTGCAGGTGGCCCACAGAAGCCAATCCCACCTCGGGTGGTTAGGACGTCCCCTTACCTGGCAGCTCTGAAGTGGGGATATTCTGCCGATACTGGTAAGCCAGCTCCCGGAAGCTGCGCAAGCCACAGCAGTAGCACAGCACCGTGTTTCCTGTGATCCTGTAGTCTAGAAGGAACATGAACTTATGCAGGCTAAGCCAGTGACCAGGGCACACTCTGGCTCAGAAACTATAGGACAAACCAGCCCTTCTAGCCAGTGGGGAAAAAAAAGCCTGTATCCATAAAAGTCATAAAAGTGACATAAAACGGTAGACTTTTGGAAAAAAATGAAAACACAACCTCTCAATACAAACTTATTTCCTGACAGCAAAATAATTCCATGTAAATAAAAAATAAACTCTTTAAGCAAAAACTAAAATCTTAAAAAGTACTAAGAGGAAAACTAGAGTGATTATTTGTTTCCCCTTGAAATAAATATGTTTAAGGGGGCCACAAAAACATACAAAGGAAAGAGTATACAAATTTAAACATCAAAATGGAAATAAGTACAATAAACAAAGTGGAATTACTAACGATACAGTGAAAAATGTACTTGCAATACACATGACGCTTTTATAATTAACAGAGAACTCATACAACCCTAAGTGACAAATCCACAAAGCCTACTACCAACATGGGCTAACATCCCAGCCAAGCAAACGATCCACGAACATGGAAAGGTCTTTGATTTCCTTAGTCATCAAACAAGGGCAAATAAAGCATCTCTGCCACCTCTCACTCTCCTTCCATGACTAAAGACAACGAGATGCCACAGGGCAAGGGTGCAGGGGCTCATCTTGTTGCAGTGGCACTGGTGTGAACTACAACGGCCTCTGGGAGGGCCAAGTGCCAACTATGCACATGACTATCCAAGAACCCTATTATCCTAAGGTGACAATTTTTCAGATCTAGAACACTGCATGCCCAACAACTGAAGTATTTGTTCTCAATAGTGAAAAATTGAACATAACTTCTTATTGTTGTCCTGAGGTCCTGTCAAGTTGATTCTGACTCATAGCAACCCCATTTACAATAGGAAAAAACACTACCAGGTCCTGCACCATCCTCACATTTATTGCTATGATTGAGCCCGTTGTTGCAGCCACTGTGTCCATCCATCTCATTGAAAATCCTCCTCTTTTTTGCTGACCCTCTACTTTGCCCGGCATGATGTCCTTCTGCAGGGACGGGCCTCTCCTAAAAACACGTCTGATGCACATTAGACAAAGTCTCACCACCCTCCCTTCCGAAGTACATTTTGGCTTACTTCCAAGACAGATTTGGTCATTCTTCTGGCACTTCGTGGTATTTTCAATATTCTTCACCAACATCACAATTCAAAGACATTAATTCTTATTTATTGTACAATAATAAAACGTCATAGCATAGGTCCTTACTGCATGGAAAAGGGCCATGACATACTGCTGAGTGAGAGCAGTGGGGTTCCACTTAGGAAGCTTAAGTGCACATGTGAGAAGATGAGCTTAGAGGGACGAGGTGGGCAGTCACCAACCTGTCAGCCCTGCTTTTCTAGGCAGTGGGCCTGGTGATGAGTATCATGCACTCTTACCTTACCACTTGCACTTTTTTTCCAGTGAGCCATATAATTCTCACACAAATGACATGGCCACTACAAAGAGGAAGCACTAAAACCCAGCTGATGGGTCAGAACCTCCAACCAAGCAGCAGCTGTCCTGCCGAGAAGATGCTGACACCACTGTGCAGAGCTGCCCATACTGCTCAGGATGGAGACCGAGCCCACAGATTCCCAACGGGACTCTCAAGAGTCCATATTGCTCTGTTGCTCTGGAACTGTCGAGACCTTAGCCTGCAGCTTCTCAGAGACAAAGCTGTACTTCCCAACATGCTGTGTGTGCACCTCCCACAAGAGGGTGACTGCTGTGTAGCTTGACTCAGGAACAATTAGCCCCACAAGGAAACGTAAAACAGGGTCCAAGCTCAGTTTTTCAAAAAATCCAAAAGTTCTATGTCCTTTCTGCATTGCTCTGCCAGAGTATGTGGAGCCAAAGTCATGAACTGCAGCAGACACACAGGCGGTCCTGTGAGGAGTAGCCAACACGCGCTCACGGCTCTACTCGCAGCACAGGCGCTACCAGGCACCAGCAGCAGAGGGGGCCTCGGGCAGGATGGCACTTACCAGAAAGCAGGAATATGCCCCTCTGCAGGGCCACCAGGCTGTCAGTCAGCAAGTTCTTCCACGTCAAACCCCTAGATGCCAGGTAATTCTGTGATGGGGAGAAGAGGACACTAAGCAGAGGCATGCATTTAGAAACAGCAAGGTGATAAGTACAAACACAGTCATGAAGATCTGGAGAAGGGGCACTGAGGCACAGCTACCCTGAAGGTAGTGCCGCTGTCCTTCAGGAGGGGGAGCTGGCTCTCTGAGAGGGGCCTCCCACTGCCAGATGCAGTCTTGGCTTAGAAAAAAGAAAACTACGGTAAGACCACAGCAGATGTACTTGCTTAGTTTGAACCCCAGCAAGTTTATGGACTAAGAAAAAAAGAACCTCGAGCACTGACAACTCTCAAGCAAAAATTGTCAAGGAATGACATCAGTCAAGATGGCTGGAAGCAAAAGGCTTTAAACCACAAAGTAACCATTTCCCACATAAGCCCATGGAGGGCAAATGCTTAGGGTAACTAGGTTGCATGTACAACATGAAAAAAGAAAAATGAAGTCGACTTCTGAAACCTCTGCCACACAGGAGGCTGCTGAGCCACGAATGTGCAGGGCTCTTGCCTCCAAACAGAAGCCTGGGTCTGCAGCCTTGGGAGAGTGGAGGTGCACAAGACACATTAACCCCATGCTAACTTCCTGAAACATGGGACAGGACAGCCAGAAAAAGAAAGGAATGAAAGGGGAGGCCTCAGCACAGCCCCAGACTCGGCCATAGCAACCAGCTCCTGGGGACTCATGCCTGATGGGCACAGAGGGAACACCATTCTGGAGCACAGGGAATGAGCTATGCTGGGAGGACTGGAGAACTTGGTGGAAGAAAAGGCGACAGAGCCCATCCCTCAAGCAGTGAGATGTGTGAGGGTCTGAGAGGCCTGTGCTTGGTTTTCCTGAAGCCTGCACACGGTCTGACGCACAATACCTTCAGGATGTCTGACTCGTAGTTGTTGTTGTTCAGCACACCATCCAGACACTTGTCCCCAAGGTTGAGTTCTGTTGAAATGAAGGCAGTCACATTATTGCTCTGTAAGGACATTTTATGCAAATATTGCTTGCCTGGCAGTTAATACAATGACATTCCCTCCCAGCAAAAATTCTAGAAAAGCGTGGCACTCCATGGTGAAATACACGGGCACACCTCGAGACACTCAGCTCCAGCCCACTGCAAGAAAGCGAGTGTGGCAATAAAGTGAGTCACACACAGCTTTTGGCTTCCCAGTACACATAAGGGTGAGGTTTCTACTGTATTGTCATCTATCATGCAACAGCATTACGAAAAAGCTTGGAATACCATGAAAATTACCAAATGGGGCAAAGAGACTTGAAGTGAACACATGCTATCGAGAAAAAGGTGCCAAGTGACTTGCCCGAGGCAGGGTTGCCACTAACCTTCAATTTGTGAAAAAAGCAGCATCTGTGATACACAATAAAGTGACGTGCCATAAAATGAGGTGTGCCTAAATTCTTACACAGAACAAGTGACCCAAAGCACAGCCTGGGCTAGTGCCGTGCAAAGCTGTGGTCGGCAACACTGTCCATGCTGGCGCTCTGTGTACGTAACTAAACCTCACTGTGAATTCAACACCTCCTCCAACTGCCACCACTGCCTGCTTCTGACCTACCACGGGTCTGATGATTCTAGAATGGCAGTTCAGCAGAAGAAGCAGGTGTTGATGTGGAGACTAACAGGGTACCTCCCTCCTCCCAGGGTTTTCTGGGTATCACTTACTGCACAGTTAGGAAGAAAGAACAGGAAGACGATGACAGACATGGGGGGAGGGCAGCCTTACCACAGAGTGGGGCCAGGCACCCAAAGCAGCCGGCCCGGGCGCAGCCCCAGTACAGGTGGCAGAAGGGCTGCAGGCACGCCGCACCTGGGGACAGAGGACAGGGGTCAGGCTGGGTTGTTCCACATCAGACTCAGGTTTTCATGGAGCATACAACAGAGCCCACTTCCCAGCTAGTGTACAAGGTGCCCCTGCTCTGTGATGACTGGGATTCATGGAATTCAAAGTGGGCCAGACCCCAGTAACTCCTACATCACACACATGCTCAGCCCAACAGCCATTAAATGAATGAGAAGCTCTGTTTGACAGTGATCAAGAAACTGCCAATCAGGACAAGGATCCATGCTTCACCTCTTACGTCTAGTGACACACTACACAATGAAGCTGCCCAGGCCATGGTGCTGATGCTGGCAAGGGGCTCAGACAGAGCCTGCAGGAAGAGAAAACCACCACCTGTGGGAACTCCCAACCAGGGGGAAGACAACCCCTGACCTGCCACCGTGCAGGGACAATGGCCATGCAGATGAGAGAGGGAGGTGGGAGCCTCACTTCATACATACACTGAAGATACAGGCCCCAAGATGTGGAGGTGAGCAGAGGACCCAGCTCTCCTAGGCCATAGGCCAGGGCACTCACACTGCTGCGGGGCAACACGAGGGTCCTGCTCGCGCTCTGCTCGCCGGTCGGGCATGGGCTGGAAGCAGCATGTGCAGACAGCATGGCTCCCCTGAGCTGGGCACACATAGTCCTGGACCACTGTGTCAAATAAAAAACACACGTTAGGAGAGAGAAACCTCAGGAGAAGGTATGAGAAACACAGAACACAGCAGCCAGATGGGGGTCTAGCACCTCAATCAGTTAAGCACCAACAGGGTGAAAAATAACCACACATTGTATTGGTTCAGCAGCTGTAAGATTTCAAAGGTCAGGGGAAGGTTTTCCATCATTATCCATAAAGGAAGAGTGAGCCCGTGAAGCGTATTGCAAGACAATAAAGCAGGTTGTATGTCTCTGTTCCAGAGAAAACTGTGCCCTTCAGAAAAACAAAAGGCCAGGCACTGCTTGCACAACTGTGGTCTATACAACACCGGGAGCTCTGTGTCTCTGACCAAGTTCACACATGGACACAACCGTTTGGTTTCTTAGTCCCAAATGGACTGCAGAAAACAAAGGCGAAACAAGGTGGTGGCATTCCCTGGGCACTAGGAGGAGGGAACATCCGACCATACCACAGCAGGAGCCTAATCCCTACAAGTGGCCACTGTGGCCAGCTCACACCACAGAAACCAATCCAGGTGACATTCAGCATTTTTTACACAAGAGGACAGAGACAAGCAAGACACTGATGGAGAAAGTTCCACAGTGAGCTAATCAACAGAGTAAGTGGAGAGTGATTCACAGGTGTGACTGAGGTCCAGCTGCCGGTGGGAAGTGCTAGCCTAGGTGGCTCACCTGCTGGCTCACCTGTTGGGAGGCTGGCAGACGTGGATGGGGCGTCCCCTGGAGCCTGCAGGGCACCCTGCTCGCTCTCTGGCCCGGGGCCGGGTGGGGGCTGTGCCTGCCTCCTGGACTCCGGGCATTGCCTGCACACGATATATGGCTGACTGCAAGAAAAGCACAGCAGCAGACATGACCACCTACACAGGTGGTGGTGGTGGGTCTGCACTCACAGGATCATGACTGCTTACAGGGGCAGCCATGGGCCCTGCATTCACAGGCATGTATCCATCATGACTGTGTACACACGCAGTGGTGGGCCCCAGGTTCACAGGCATGTGTCCATCATGACTGTGTACACGGGCGGCAGTGGGCCCCATGTTCTCAGGCATACGTCAATCATGACTGTCTGCATGGGTGGCTGTGGGCCCTGCACTCACAAGCACGCATCTACGATCAATGTCCACACGGGCGGCTGTGGGCCCTGCGTTCACAAGCACATGTCAATCTGATGCCTGGCTCCCGGATGTGACAAGACTCTCTGGGTCTCTCAGAAAAGAGGGCCAGACATGGGGCCTTTCTAGCAATGCCATTACACTAAGCCCATGTCTGGCTTCACTGTGCCTGACATTTGCCAGACCTCACCCCTCTTCCCTCCTCAGATCTGTCCTTCCTTAGTTCTCAGCCACATCCCAGGCCCTGCTGCTAGTCTGCCGTGGAGCACATCTGAGATGGCGGGCCAGCCTGGGCCCTCCCACTGTCTGATGAGCTTCTCCAGACCACAGAGAAGTCAGGGGCAGCCATGCCCATTCCCACGCCAGCTGTCCCTGCCCAGGTTCCCCGGTCTGTGGTCATCTCCAGGGCCCCAGCCCTCATCAGCCACATTTGAGAGACTGGACACTGCTGCAAGGCTCCGTTAACATGCGTGACACACAGACCTCAGCACACCCAGCCACCACTCTGGATGTGTCTGCCCTTCCCCACACAGGACACACCCTCACAGTTCTGAGGCTCTGACAGAGCCCTGCTTGCTCCTGTGGGTGACTGCAAACCACACTTATAGGCATCAAATAGCCTGTCCCATTCAGTGGAGTGCAATGGCTTGCACTGAGGGGAGATATCAGACACCCTGCATGCTCTCCATCAGGGTCAGAGCAGAGTGCCCCATGGGTAATGCCAGTGGCCTGCTTGGCACCCCAGCCCATTACCACCCTCAATCACTTGCCACTGTATTTTTAAAGAACAAAATGAAACATAAAGGAAAGAACCCATGGAGGTAGCCTAAGAAAATACAGGAGACTTTCTTGCATCTCTGCTCAGGGAAGCCTAAGCCTGACAAGGATGGCAGCAACGAGGAGAAATGGAGAAGAGCTGACTAAACAGAAACTAAAAATGAATGCCTGGCCTCATTAACAAGAAAAGAACCGTTTTCTCCTACTAGGCTGGCAAAGACTGAAGAATGCTGGGACTGCATGTCAGCACGGTCATTTGCCGCCCACAGGGGAGACCAGTGCTGCCCACCTGAGGAGCACTGCAGCCGCATGCAGCAAGGTATGAGCCCACGTTTTCCCGCCCAACTAAGTTACATCAACACATTTACCTTCCTGAAAAACCAGACATGCACAGAATTATAAAGCAAGGATGGCACTGCTGCTGAGTTCAGAAAGCAAAGCTATCCAACAGGGAACATTACAGTAGTCACACCTATTCAAAACACAAACCCTCCCAGAATCATTTCAAAAGATGATGCAGATACAGTCTTCACAAAGATACACTCCAACACACTATTAAACATGAAAAGCAAACCATAAATCCTATGCACTGCACGATTCCCTCTATACAGAAACAGTTCTATCAGATTCTGTTGTGCTAAAAACTTGCGCGTGTGTGTTCACATACGGAAAGCCAGACAGATAAGCCACATGCCAGCTCAGGTGGATCTCAGCCAGGCAGCTAAACCACGTTAGCTCCATTAGCTCAGCCCGACATACTCTCCCCTAGCAGCTAAGTGTACCCCTCGTCCCCACCCTCTCATTCAGTGAGGGCATCACCTGATGTCTGAGGACTCGCTGTCAACGTCCGACAGCTCCAGCAGGTCCTCCGAACTGCCCTCCTCATCCGAGAATGACCTCCTGACCTTGGGCTGCAGCATGTCCTGCGTGATCTTATTTCTGGCATCCATGCTTCGTACTTCTTCCTCAGTTCGGCCCTTGTCTGGAATTCAGAGGACAGCCTCAGAGAGAGCCCCACAGCGGGGCAGACCCATGGACTGGTGGCCCAGCTTACCTGGGTGCTGGGTGAGGTAAGCCTCCACTAGGTTGTTGAGGATGTGGTTTTTGCAGATCCGCTCCACTAGGCAGCGGCAGGTGGGGCACAGGGACGAGCGCTCCATCCAGCCCGAGTAGCAGGCAGCACAGAAGGTGTGCATGCACGGCTGCAGGCTGAAAGCACGTGAGGGGTGGGCTGTAGTTCCCTGTACAGTGCAGGGGTTCTGCAGTCCTCTGTACAGTGTATGTGTCTATATGTGTGTGTATGTGTGGGAACGTGCAGTCCTCAGCTGGGGGGAGGGTCCCACAGTCATCTGCATGTGTATCTTCATGTTTTGTGAACATCTCAGCCTGCAGACCCAGAATATCTCAGGCTGCAATCATCCACAGAAGCAAACAGAGGCTTGCCACACACATGTGGGGAGGGGGCCTGCAGTCCTATGGGCAGTGTTGGGGGAAAGTCTGCAGCCCTCTATGCAGTTGCAGGGGTGTCTGCAGTACTGTGGGGGGTTCTGCAATCTTCTGTGCAGTGTGTGTATGTATGGGGAGGTTCTGCAGTCCTCTGTGCAGTGTGTGTGTGGGGGGACCTGCAGGTCTCAGTTGGGGGGAGGATCCTACAGTCATCTTCATGTGGGGAGGAGGTCTGCAGCCCTCTGTGCAGTTGGGGGGTGATGCCTGCAGTACTTTGGGGGGTATGCAGTCTTCTGTGCAGTGTGCGTGTATATGGAGAGGTCTACAGTCCTCTGTGCAGTGGGAGGGGGTCCTACAGTTCTCTGTGTGTGTGAAAGGGGGTCTACAGTACTGGGGGGGGGGTGTCCTGCAATCCTGTGGGGAGGGATGGTCTGCAGCCCTCCATGCAGTGGGGAGAGGTCTGTAGTGCTCTGTGCAGTGTGTGTGTGTGTGTGTGTGTGTGTAGCAAGGTCTGCCATTCTCTATGCACTGGTGGTAGTCTGCAGTCCAGTCCTCTGTGCAGTGTGTGTGTGTGTGGGGGGGGGGTGTCCTACAGTGCTCTGTGCAATGTGGGAGGGTCTCCAGTCCTCTGTGCATTGAGGATGGCATTGGGACACACAGGTCTGTGCTGAGATCATTAGGCTACATTCCAGAGATGAAAGGATGTCATAGGCAGACTGCAGGGCCTTCTGAGAAAGAGAGACAGCTCAGGGACCTCTGGGCTCACAGGGACCCTGGGCTCTCCCCCAGAGGAGATGGCCTTGCTCAGGCTGAGGATTGTTTAAATCATACAACAAGAAAACCTAACCCCGAGCTCTCTTGACTCAGCGGGACCTTCAGTCACATCTCCTGCTGCAGCCTTGCCGTGTAGCCGCACACACAATGGAGCCTCCACCTTGCCTCCATGGGTATGGTCCCTCCTCTCACCATGACCCATCCCCAAACAGTGGATGTGGCACCAACCATGGCACCAAAAATGTTCTTGTATCTAACTGCTTTGAGAAAGGTCCTCATAAGGAAACCTGTCACTCACGCTGAAGATACTTTGGCTCCATCTGGTAAATGAGAAGAAACTAGGGCCATGGGAGTTCAGAAGGGCTGGGGAGGCGCGATGGCAATGTCAGGAACAGAAGGGGCAGAGAAGTAAGGGAACATAAAGATCTTCACTTCACTTGCTTCACAGGCTGTAACACAGTGTCACAAAAGGGGCAAGGCTAGAGTTCTCCCTGAGCTGTTATTCCTGGGACCCTCATCCTATGTCAAACCTTACGTTTCCTGAACTTGGAAACAATGAAGATGCTAGAAGTGGTCCCATCAGTGGACTTTCCCTTGTCCACACCAGTGGCCCTCTGCCCCATGTGGGGACATCCTGTTGTACTCCCTAGCCAGGCAGATGTGTGGCAACCATGTGAAGGTCCTGGCATCCCCTCATCGTACCTGACACAGTCATGCAGCAGCTCCTGGCAGATGACACAGGTCAGTGTCTCCTCCATCCTGTCTGGTTTCACAGCCGCAGCTCGGCTGTCCTCATGGCCGGTCAAGGCAGCCTGACAGGGGTCTGCAACAAGCAGCTGAGGGCTCAGTCCAGGCTCCCCATCTGTGAGTGAACAGGGCAGCTTCAGTTACAACTGAGAAGGAAGTAACACTTGGTCTTTTTGTTTTGTGAACATCTCAGCCTGCAGATCCAGAATATCTCGGGCTGCAATCGTCCACAGAAACAAAGAGAGGCTTGCCACACACATGCTGATTTAGAAGGCCCAAGATACAGGTATCCCATGCCAAAAATTTTCAATGTTGTTTTAGAGTGATAGTTTATGTTGTGAAAAAGATGTTCTGAATACAATATGACAACTAGGTGATGCATTCCAGCTGCCAAATGATACATGTGCATAGTATCAATTTTGTTCAAGCAAACAAACACAAGGATTCAGGTACACAGCAAAGGCTGGAAAGCAAACACTGGAAAATGTTAACAGTGGGCTTTCATTAAGTTTAGTGTTCTTCTATTTTCTTGCTACTTCTTTTTCTTTTGCTCTAATGTCACAAGAGGGAGCTCTGGTGGCGCAGTGGCTAAGGCACTTGACTGCTAACCTGAAGGCTGGCAGTTCAAACCCACCAGCCACTCCTCGGAAGGAAGACTGGGCAATCTACTTCCGTAGAGATACTGCCTTGGAAATCCAAGGAGGGGTCGCTATGAGTTGGATTCAATTTGACAGCAGTTTGGTTTGGTGGAATGTCATGACATACTAAAAATACATTATTCTCTGTTTTTAATTAAAGGTGTACACACTTGAAAGTCAAATATTGAAAAGAAAGCACCAGTGGCAGGCCCTGCCCAGTCTTTCTTCACTGCCTGTGCCCCTCCTCCGAGAAAACAACTTCCATACCTCCTGGCTACTTCTGGTGTGCACTTCCATGTTTCTGAGTTATGATGTATCAGTTTTAGACATTGTCTCACAGCCTTTACTAACGTAGAGGGAGACAGCTTCCCCTCCCAATATTGTGTGACACTGACACTGGTCACTACACTGCATCTGTTACTGAGGTTACATAAGCAACCTGCACTGCCAAGCCCAGTACTGTACTACCATTTTCTTCCTCATATCAACATTCACTTCTGCTGGAACTAAAAATCGCCTCATTTTTATACTTGCTTATTCTCCGTAGGGCGCTCTGGTGGCCTAAGGCATTTGACTGCTAACCAGAAGGCTGGTGGTTCAACCTCCTTGGAAGGATGGTTGGGCAATCTACCTCCGCAGTGATACCGGCTTGGAAACCCAAGGAGGGGTCACTACAAATCAGATGCGACTTGGTGGCAGTAAGCATGGTTTTGGTTTTGGTATATGCTGTATGTGCTGATTGCAATTCTTTCCACCCCCCTCCCAAGCCCCTCAATTCAGTTTCTGACTCAAGAGCATCAGACCATTCCCTTCCTGGCAGCCGCCCTTGGGAGCTGCGTTCCAAGTATTTCTTACAATACTTTTAACTTTCATTTTCAAAGTGTAGATTTTTCTTTAAATTTCTCTAACGTGGAGATCTGAGTTACTACTTACAGAGAATAGAGCATAAGGTATCAGTTGTTGCATCTGGCAGAGGGCATTTTAGCAGAACGATGGACCCAGACCATGAGTATGTGCAAAGAGGATACGTAAGGACAGTAGCTCTGCCCAAGGATGCAAACCAAAGAAAGGAAACACTGAGCAACTGCCTTCAGCACAAAGTGAGCTTCCAAGGCAGGGAGGACTGTCCATCCCAGGCGTGACCAGTCTGCAGAGCAGATACACACAGGGAGCTCGGCCAGTTCTCACCTCCTTTCATCTTCTTTCTCTTGGGCTCCCAGTCCTCCAGACCTTGAGGCACCGACAAAGACAAAGGTGTGCCCTCTCTGTCAGGAAGCACAGACACAAAGCTGGAGGGTTCCTCACCTGCCACGGTGGGACCACATCCCTGTGAGGGGAGGCCTGCAGGAGAGGAAACGGCAGGTTCTGTCCACGTACTCGAGTAACGTCCCATATGTGACAGAAATCAAAGATGGCCTATCTTAAGGGTATTTTAGCATGTTCCACCTTGAGGGTTTATGTTTCCTCTTACTCACGGATGTGACATAATCATGTTAAAGAAGAGTGAGTTCAGATGAGTTAGGGTTTGGAAGTGTAGCAGCAGATGGGCTGGCAGGAACCTTCCTGTCCCCCGTTTTCTCTAAGCCGCTGCTCTCATCTCCTCAAACAGTGGGTGGGGCTGTGCAGCACTTATTGTTCACAGCCTTGTTTGCAACTGCAGAGCCCCGAGAACCAAGGCCTTTAATGTGCATCTGGAAAGTGCCCCTAGACAAGAAAGGTGGCAGATGCTGTAAGGCCTTAAGGAGATCAAAAATAGGAGACGTGGGACTGCCTGTGTTCCCAAACAGCCACAGTACTAGTAAGCTAAAGAACAAAACAACAAACGGAAATAGGTTCAAGTGATGTCAGAAGGAAGATGGGGCAATCTACTTCCATAGTGATACTGCCTCGGAAACCCAAGGAGGGGTCGCTATGAGTCGGGTCTGACAACAACAAATGTGGGAGAAGATTCTCAGACTCCAGAAGACATACTGAGTCCCTGTGTTTGCTGCTTCTCCTTCCCAAAATCCCACTAAAATAATAACTAAAGAGGTCTGAAAATAAGAATGCCCTGTAAAGGGGCAGCTATGCCCTGCTGGGTAAGAGGAACCAACAGAGCCATCTCCATCTTTCTTCACTGAGGCTCCCTCTGCTTCCTGTCTTTGAATGTTGTTTCGATGCTCAGAACAGGGGCAGCCACTTTGTAACTACAAAGTGAAAAACGTGAGGACAGAGAGGCAACCTGCTGAGGTGGAGAAGGATGGGCTCTTGGGGGCCGTGACAGGACTGAGAACCGACCTGGCTGTCTCCCAGACTCCTGATTAGGCTGTGAGGCTTTCCGTTACGTGTATCCCCACACATCCTAATTGAGATTCAAGAGGCTCTTAGTCTCAGAAAAACTACAGACAGCTGCAATCGAAGAACAGGAGAACCAAGACTTCCATGAATAAGTCAGAATTATCCCCAACTAGGTGCAGAAAGTGATAAAATATCACTAAGAGCATCAAAAGCTTAATATTAGGGAGGACCACCCTGTCAATTCTGTCCCAAACAAGAATCTCAGAAAGACTATATTTGGATAGTTACTTCCAAAGATAATCTGAAAAATACAAAATAGCTAAGAAAATAAAACTGAAAATTAACATGTGCAGGGTGACCCAATTTAAGAGATACATATATATACATATTCATGAACTACCACCCATGAGGAACGCTCACATGGCACCACACCTAGATAACCTCAGCATCTAGATGACCATGCAAGAAGGGAAAAAGGTTGTGCTGGAAGACACAGTCTCTGTAAAACCAGTTTCAACTCATGTGCTCTTCTGGAAGAACCCTGAAAACATTAAGTGAAGTGAAAGGAACCAGTCACAAAAGTCCACATATTGCCTGACTCTAATACATGAACATCCAGAGTAGGGAAATTCAGAGACAGAAAACAGATTAGTGGTTGTCTTGCGCTATGGGCAGGAAGGAATGGGAAGCAACTGCTAATGGAAATGATGCAATGTTCTGGAATTGGGTGGTGGTGACGGCACAGCCCTGTAAGTGTCCTACATGCCACGAGTTCACTGAACTGGGTGACTTCTCCAGAACATAGAGCGTATCCCAACAAAACTGCACACACACACGGATGCTCCGTTTTGCACTGCCTGGCTGTTGGAACCTCTCACATCCCCACCATGAAAATCATATTTTGGAGAATCTTATGCCACTACACCTCTGAGGCCTTCAGTGACTCATCTGTCTCTACAGCAGGGTAGGTCAAGAGTGCTGGCCCCTTGGACCTGTCGTGAGCCATCAGGCAGGACGGGCAACTTAGTCTCACCGGATGCAGAGGGGTGCCCCTGCCCCACAGAAGCGGGCTCCATGGACGAGGTAGAGGCCGTGTGGAAGAGGTCTGATGTTGATGTTGATGGCTGTGGCTCCTCCGAGCACGGTGGGGTGCTAGGTGGTGGGGGCAGGGCCCAGGCATCACCACCACTGCCTGTTCCTGAGGTGTCTTTGGTCATGAGGAACACATTTTCTTTATTCACTTCTGAAACCACAAAAATTCTGTAACCACAATGCGCTTTGGGCCTGGGGGGTCCCCCTGCTGCTTTACAAAGGACCTAGAGCTGGAGGAGAGAGGCTTCTATCCGAAGGACCTCCACAGCTTTGTGGCAGTTGCACTCACCAAAGGACTCGTGTGTGATGCCTTGTCTTTCCTTTAAAGATTCATAGAGGTAGGCCACATCTACAAGGAAACCAATCAAGTCAGAGGCACTCTGGCCCACGAGGAAGTGAGAACTCAGCTTGCTTCTGTCCCAAAATCCTCTGTTGTCTCCCACCAGCCACTTCAGTTGTACTGCCTTTGGAATCTTCAGCCAATAATTCAAAACTGGCCAAGTAAAGACATTTTAAAACAAATGACTAAAACCTTCTTGACCAACTGTAAAGTAAATAAACCTCTGGAACAAATTTCGGAATCAGGAGGCAGACAAAGGGAAGGCAAAGAGATGAGAAGGTAAACAATCTATGCCTTTGTTACAATTCCATGCTACTGCAACAGCTGGTACAAGACCCTTCTGTGAAGGGGCTTGTGTGCAAGGTGACCTGGAGAGCATGTGCTCCTGTGCTCTACCTTCCCATCGGTTGGCTGGAAGTACTTTTTCCCCTGTCCTTGGTAAGGACCCCCTAAGCACCTGTCCTGCATTGTTCTTTTCCCAGAAACATAACACAGACATGGAGCTGGAAAGTTGAAGCAGGGCCCAGTCCAACCTTTGTCTTGACCTGTACAGCCACCAAGAACAGAACCACTCAAGTCCTCTAGTATCCTTCCCAGGTGTTACTCTTCATGACTCTAATGTCATCCACTCTACAAGCTAAGTGATCTCCATTCACTTTTCCTCGACTACTGTTGGCGTTATGGCTAACGGCGTGGAATATCCCTAAAGGATGGTGAACAGCTGTACCACCCACTCTTGGAGAGGCCCCATCCACACCAAAAAGTCTGCTCTTCAACATCAGCAGGACATGCCCTGTGGCACCCCTATGGTCAACCTCAAAAGGAGTTGCTTTCTTACTGTGTTCCGGCTCATTCTTCCTGTACACGACATAGATGACATCCCCCGTCTGCAAAGGGCAGGTTTGCTTCTTAATAATCTTCAACTTATTAATTACTGTCCCATTGGTACTGTAAAGAAGACAACAATGCAACTTACTATACCTAAAAGAATCTGGAGTTAAAAACTGCCTTCTAGAATTAGTCCAAGAGACTAGGAGACCACGCAATCCTCAGCCTATATGACCATGACACCAGAACTAGTTGGTGCCCGGCTACCACTGTCAACCACTCCGAAAGGGATCAGTACAGGAGATCCTGGACAGACTGGGAGAACAATGTGAAACAAAACTCAGTATCATTAAAAAAAAAAAGACCAGGTTTGCTGGTCTGATAGAGCTGAGTGAGACCCCTCGAGACTTTAGCCCCTAGTGACCCCCTTCAGGTTCAAAACTGAACTCACTCCAGTGGCTTCAAGCCAAACAAGAGACAGGCAATAAAAGGTGAACATTTATATCAGGTAGATACACTTCTTGGAGCAATCAATCGTGGGCAGTGTTTCCACAGGGCAGGGAGCTGGGGGGGGGGCAGGGGCAGGGAACAGGAAAGCACAGCAAAGAAGAATGCACAGGGAAGAGGTAACTACAGGGAAGAGTGGCATTGTGGAACTGCAGTCAATGTCATGAAACAAAATGTGTATGAACTGCTACACGGAAAAGAAATTTTCTCTGTTGACTCTCACTCAAATTACAACAGATTTTTTTTTTTTTAAATTATTCTCTAGCACCATGAGGAATGGAACTCATTATTACTATTTATAAATAATAAAATGCTCAAAGGAGTGACAGACATATCCAAGCACCGCTTCACAATTCTCTTGGGAGGAAACTTGCTGGTTACTCCCTTACCAACAAGGAACCTGGCAATCACAGTCTCATCAAGAGTTTTGGAACAGCTCAGGAATATAGCCTCAGGGAACATCAAGCTCAACTATAGAGTACAGTCCACAAACACAAGGTTCTGTGTCCTACTTTGGTGAGTATTGACTAGGGTCTTAAAAGCTTCTGAGCAGCCACCTAAGGCAACTATTGGTCTCTTCCTGTCCAGAGCAGAGTAAAGAAAATAAAATATGCAAGGAAACGATTAGTCCAAAGGACTAATGGACCAGTGTCCATGAGCCTGGGACGAAAATTAAATGTTGCCCAGCTACCACTACTGATCACTCTGAAAGGGATCAAAATAGGAGATCCTAGACAGAGTGGGAGCAAAACATGGAACGAGACTCAAAATCATAAAAAAGACCAGACTTAATGGTCTGATAGAGACTGGTGGAACCTTCAAGACTGTGGTGATTAGACATCCTTCAAGCCTGGAACTGAACTCACCCCTATGGCCCAATTTCTAGCCAAACAATGGACAGGCCTACAAGGGGAACAATAACACCAGGGAAGTAGACATTTATTAGAATAACCAACCATACCAGATCAAAAGGACAGCATGTGCCTGAGATAAAGCTCAGAAGGCAGTAAGAAATAGGAAAGAAGGACAAGGGGAAACAGTAAACACAGGAAGGAACTGGAAGAGTGCTGTTATATTGTAGGGACTGCAATCAATGTCACCAAACGTGTATGAATTATTGAATGAAAAGCCAATTTGTTCTGTAAACTTTCAGCCATATCACAATAAAAAATTACTTAAAAAAAAAAAAAGAGTTCTACAATGTCTGTGGCTTCAAATGCTCTGCTGCCCTCGTCCTCCTCAGACTCCACCAGCACTCGGTGCCTTCGATTTCTAGTTTTGTTCATTCTGCGTCTGCATTCAGCTCTGCCTACAGATCCGTACCCCTCCTTCTGCAGTCCAACCCACAGTGCTCAGTCCTCAATGAGCCTAGAAACAGGCTCTAGGCAAGAGCAAATGCATGCACCTAAATGACAATACATTTCTGGCCAGAGCATCACCACCTCCTGACCAGCTTGGGGACCACAACAGCAGATCATGAGCCTCCTGTGGCTGCCATCACAAACGTGGGGACTTACCCACAACAAATTTATTCTCCCTCAGTTCTGTAGGTCGAAGTCCTAAGACCAAGGCATCCACAGGGCTGTGTTCCTTCTGAAGGCTTCAGGGAAAAGTCCTTGGCTTCTCCAGCTTCTAAAGGCCACCACATTCCTTAGTTTGTGGTCCCTTCCCAAATCTTCAAAACCAGCCAATTGCATCACTCCACCCTCTGCTTCCACGTTCACCACTCCTTCTCTGACTGACCTGAGTTCCTCCCCCACCTTATAAGGGCCTTGTGATCACATTTAGGCCCCACCTGATCATTCCATGAGAGATTACCCTTGATCACTTGTGTGCGCCCAATCTAATGACCTGGGTCCTTGAAAGAGAGAAAATATTGTGATAAAAGCTCAATTGGCCATTACTGGCTTGAAAACAGGAGGAGGCCAGGAGCCAAGGGATGTGGCATAGAAGTTGGAAAGATAAGGAAAGGAATCCTCGCCTAGAGTCACCAGGAGGTGTTTGTTTGTCCACACCTTGATTTCAGCCAGTGAAACCCAAGTCAGGCTTCTGATTTCCACAACTGTCCGAAAGTAAGTTTATGTGGTGCTAAATAAAGCCCTTGTTTGTGATTAATTTGTTACTGCAGCCACAGGAACCTCATGCAGTCTTATAGCTCCTGAGGGGAAAGCCAGGGCCTGAACCAGGCAGGGTGGACCCAGGACCAGCACTCTATTATTCCATGCTATGCTGACCTTTGTACATCACTTGATCTGCTACCTTCTAGAATAAGAAGGGAACACCAGTTCTTCCTAATAATGGATGTTACTCCCTAGTCTTCTCCCCAAGAACCGCTATCAAAGAATCTCATAGCTCCTGATGGTACACAGGTCCCATAGTCCTTCAGTGGGAAAGTACACCTTTGACATGCTGCTGCTAGAAGGCCAGGTGGCCACATGTTCCAAATTTAAAATAAGTACATTCCAACAGTTTTCCCTCGCTAAAAATTTATCCCAAGGAAACACTGAAACGTGTGTGCAAAGATTTTTGGACAAGGAGCATCACTTCAGTGTCATTTACAAGAAGAAAAACTCAAAATAACTCAAACGTCTACCAGTAAGGGAGATCACTAATAATTTATAAGATGAAGAGATGTTAAAAAAAGATGAGAGGGATCTAGACATCCTGGCATGACAAGTAATCCGTAACTATTGCTGAGTTAAAGAAAAGGCAGCACAACAGTATGCGTAGTATAATCTTTTACATGGAACTGCTATTGTTGCATGCTGTTAAGTTGGCCACTGAATCACGGCCACCACATGCACCATGGAACAAAATGCTGCTTGGGCCTGTGCCATCTCCATGATGGCTTGTGGACTGGACCACTGTGACCCAGAGGTTTCTCACTGGCCTGGTCCTTCTTCCTAGTCCATCTTAGTCAGGGAGAGCCACTGGAACCTAGTTAGCCTTCTAACAACATTCAAGTCTCCACTGACAGATGGGCAGCAGATGCACATGAGGTCCACTGGCCAGGAACTGAACCAGGTCTTCTGCAGGGATGGCGACATTTCTACCACTTACATATACGTTTTTAATATGTACGTGGGATTATGAAATGCTTTTCACTTCTACTATTTCAGTTGTAGAAGAATTTCTTCAAAAATTTTTTAAAAACCCACAAGAGATTTCTTTGATTTAGGGGAAGAAGAAATCAAACTTGGACAGTTTTCTAAATAGCATAAATTTTCCAAGCACTTTGAAGTCTTATTTCTAGGATATTTTTTGCTTTATTTTGAATACATTAAGAAGAGTTGTTGATACTCAAGTGTTACTGAGAATCTGACTGAGTTACTCATCCTCAAAAATCAGAAAATACACTTGCTAGCCCCTTGAAAGGGAGCTCTGGTGGCATAGTGCCTAAGGCATTTGACTGCTAACCACAAAGCTGGCGGTTCAAACCCACCAGCCACTCCTCAGAAGGAAGGTTGGGCAATCTATTTCCATAGTAATACCGCCTCCGAAACCCAAACAGGTCAGATCTGACTTGACAGCAATGGGTTTGGTCTTTTTTTGGTTTAGTACCTTGAGATCCAAATTAACTTCCACGTTGCAGAAAAATGAGCCATTATTTTCTCATTAAAAACACCATGTCATTTTCTCCTCCTGAATCACAGCACACAACATACCCACTTTAAGCTGGGCTCCTTAAGTAACAAGAGGAAATAAAAGAAGTTCAGAAAGTGCTCACCTTGTATCTTGCAGTGACACCTGACCAGACTTATCATCCAGTAGGATCTTACAGTGATCTCCAGAGACCAACTTATTGCCAGGGAATGAAAGGTCACAACCTGAAACAGGGGAGCAATATATTTATTATTATTATGAATAAAACTGTCCTTTGCTTAACCAAAGTATGAAATACAAAATCAGGATTCCCACTGTAGGCACCCAAGGAAACAAAAGGTAACCAAGCAATATACAAAGATAAAGAAAAAAATCATGTGAGTATTAACCCAAAGTAAAGGGACAGGGAATACCTCCTTTATCCTTTTTGAATTCTCATTACCTAACAGGATACCCTATCAAGGTTTACAACTACACATAAACCTTGTAATATGCACACATATATAGTCAACCTGATTAGTATTAGTAAAATTTAAAAAAAACCAAAGGGCTTATTTATTCTTCAGTATCTTAACTTGGAACCAATTTTCTTCTCTGTACAATCTTTGGCTTGATAAATCATCACTTAATTGCAGTAATAACAAAGAACCACAGAAAACATGATTGAGCAAATTACTAGAGGCATATGCATACATGTAAGATAATATAAAACAGGAGAGGAATGCATGTACATCTAAATACAATCATTATATCCTCACTAAATGCAAGGGAAAAATCTTCAAATAATTTGTTCTCACCAAATATCAAAAGAAAAAAAAATTTCAGAAGCTTTTAATATCTAATCTTAACAGTATTTTATGACTGTATAAAAAAATATTAGACATTAAAGGCAATTAACAAGAATGTAGCAAGGAGGTGGTCAACAGGTAAGCCTTATTTTCCATGGGTCACACAATGGGAATCCTAATTTTGATTAATCAGTCAAACCCTTCTCTGGTTAAAGCCTTGTTCTATCACCAAGCTATGGATCAGAGGACTCAGTATGATTAAAATGCTAATGTTCCACAATTGTTTCACAGCTTCACTATATCCCAATAAAAATCCGTTTCCAAAAATGTTTCAGAAACTTAGAAGCTGATTCTAAAGTTCATAAGGAAAATAACAAAATAATCAAAGCAATCTTGAAAAACAACAAAGTCGGAGGACTCTTTGAAGTGAGAGACTGCTTGTACTTCGCCTTTCTCTCCATGTTCTTATAACTTCCACCAAATGACTGGTTGGGACTATGCAAGTGAGGTACCTGTGGTCCACCAATGGGATTGAATAGATTACCAATGGTGTATATAAAGTGCACTGCTCCCTTGTGGGGGTAGGACCATATAAATAAGGTGGATGGAACTCTAAGGACGATATTGATCACTTTTGCCATTCCACTAGGCTTGAAATTAGCCATCTCAGGCAGAAAGGCAGGGCCTCACTACTACCAAGAAAGAAGAACCAGAAGTGGCATGTGTCCTCTAGACTCAGGATGCCCAGGCTGACAACATCCTAGACTAAAGAGGGAGAGGCAGAACTGTAACATGAAACACCGTGAGAAGTAGCAGCAGAGAAATGACAGCAGCAGACCCAAAAGACCGGCAAGAGATGGCACTGTGCACTTCCTAGCCCATGGGGCAAGAAAGCTGAGGGCCTTTGAGCAAGAGGCTTAATGGCAGAATGGGGTGTCTCTGGGCAGTTACTAAAGGAATTAGCTTTGTTACACTTGCCTGGGCTGGGCAGAGAGATGTATGTCTATAGGCATGGCTGAGAAAAAACTGTCTTGACTCATTTCTGACCCTGATTTGTAGTCTGTTACTTCCATAAGTATGAGTGTTGTCTTTATGTTGCATGGCCATTGCAATGAATTACAGAAATCAGCAGCCAAGTAGAGAATGCTACGGGAGGGATGGCTGGTGTCAGAATTGGCAGGAAAGCTGGAAGGTGCAGGTATGTCTAACCCTCACTTCATAGGAATCAGCCTTCGGTTGATGCTGCTGATGGTGACTCTGCCCCCTTGTGAAGTGAGAGGCGGTCAGACACCCTCATTGCCATGCGATTCTTACACTCATATTCCAGAAAATAAGATTTACTGATTAGAAAACTACAGAAATTAAAACAATGCTATACTCATCTAAGGAGCTCTGGTAGCGTGGTGCCTAAGGCACTTAACTGCTAACCAGAAGGCTGGCGGTTCAAATCCACCAGCCACTCCTCAGAAGAAAGATGGGGCAATCTATTTCTGTAGTGATACTATCTCGGAAACCCAAGAGAGGGGTCACTATGAGTCGGGTCCAACTCGACGGCACATAACAACAACAACAACAACATATTCATCTAAGGATGGACAGAACATACAGACTAATACAAAAACTAAAACTATAAAAACTGTAAAGTTTCTAGAAGATTCTCTAGGAGAACAATTTTTCTTGGTGATCTTGAGTCAGACAAGGATTTCCTGGATTGGATACAAAAAGCACAAATCACAAAGGGAAGAACTGATAAACTGGATTTCATTAAAATTTCTGTTCTTCAAGACACTGTCTAAGAAGATAAAAGACAAGACACAGATTTGGAAGAATGATCTAGAAAATAATTCCCTGACAAAGGTCTTGTATCCAGAATTTATTAAAAAAAAAAAAAAAAACTTTCAGTAACAACCACCACAAAACCAACAACCAAATTGGAAAATGGACAAAAGATCTGAACAGACACCTCACAAAAGACGACATACAGATGGCAAACCAGCACAGGAAAAGATGCTCAATATCATTAACAATCAAAGAAATAGGCCATCAAAACCATAATGAGATTATACGGTGTCCTAACAGTGACTAACATTCTAACAATATGTAAATATTTTCAAAGTTATGGGAAAAACCCAAAAACTTCATGTTGGGATTTAAGACTGATAAAAGAAAAAAAGATCAGGTATGTCACGAAGAGTACAATGAAACCCAATTAACTTTTGGTTCTCAATAGTTCTCATGGTTTCTCTATGTTAAAGTATAAAGTCTGAAAGCAGAGTCACGAATTGTCAGATAAATGAGACATTTTTGATGACCTGTCCAGCACATTTCTCTCCCTAGAGAAAAGCTGTAAGAGAACTCAAACACCCAGATGGTCACTTAAGTCCAGAGGCAGTAAAGAGCACACTTCTGCTATGTCTGTGCCCTTGTTCAATTCTTCAGCCTACTGTTGTTGTTGTTGTTATGTGCCGTCGAGTCGGCCCCGACTCATAGCGACCCCTCCTTGGGTTTCCGAGGCAGTATCACTACGGAAGTAGGATTGCCCAACCTTCCTTCCGAGGAGTGGCTGGTGGGTTTGAACCGCCAGCCGTCTGGTTAGCAGGCAAGTGTCTTAGCCACTATGCTACCAGAGCTCCTTCAGCCTACTAGACTCATTAAACAATTATTTGAGCGGCTCTATTTGGTTTATTCTTAGACCTAAGGAGCTCTGGTGGTATAGTGGCTAAGGCATTTGGCTGCTAACCAAAAGCTCAGTGGTTGGAACCCACCAACTGCTCTGCTGAAGAACGATGAGGCCGTCTGCTTCCCTAAAGATTTACAGCCTTGGAAACCCAATGGAGGTCGCTATGAGTTGCAATGGACTCAATGTCAGTTGAGTTTTTTCTTGGAGCTAGCAGTGAGAACAAAATGCCAGACTGGAGATCTTGCTTCTTTCTTAATGCAGGCATTTACTGGTATCAATTTTCCTCTGAGCATGCTTTAGCTGCATCCCCTAAATTTCGGCATTTTGTGGTTTCACTTTCATTCCTCTCCAAGTATTTCCTAATTTCCTGTGTAATTCTTTCTTTAAACCTATTGGCAGTTTAATTTCTCATTGTGTTCATTCTCCGGTTTTCCTTCTGTCACTGATTTCTAGTTTCATTCCACTGGATCAGAAAAGACACTGCATAATAATGACCTCAGAAGATACAGGCATTCTAGTGATCTATTCATTGCAAAGACTTCAAGCAGTTGCAATGAAGATTAAAGAAGCTGCATGAAGTTCGTAAAAGAACGACAGGCAGACAAGTAACTCAGTAAGTGTCAGCTATTACACCAGAAAGTACCCCATCGGAAGGGCCGGAGCGCACACCACGTCCCTGCCCCCCCCCCCCCCCGCCGCGGGGCCTCCAAGCTGCCAAGCGGCCGCCTCCCGGGCGCTGCCCCTCCCCCTCGCCCCGCCCCTCCCCCACAGCCCGCGCCCGGCTACGGCCCCTCATCCCTCTCCGGCCCCGGCGGCCCCGTACCTCTCCTCCGCCCAATAGTACACTCCCGTTTCCACAGCAGGACGTGCGGCTCGCCCTCCTCGGCGCCCAAGCGCAGAAGCCTTCCCCACGGCGGATGCTGCGGCTGCTCTCCGTCCTCGGTCTGCTCCATTGGGATTCACATCTAACAGCCCCCAGACGTCGGGGGAGGGCTGGCCCACCCCCTAGAAGCCCGCCCGGGCCCCTCCTCCCTCGCGGCCCAAGCGGCTTCCGAGGTCATGGCCAACGCCAACACCGCCCCCCTCAGCCCGGAAAGGACGCCAGCCGACTGAAGGGCGCCTCCGCCGCGGCCGCAGCCCGTCCTCCCCGTCCAGCCCGCCGCAGCCCCCTCCGCCCGCCTCGCTTACCCCCTGACTCGCGCGGAACCCGGAACCGGCTACGCCGCCGCTGTCAACAGACATCGCGGCTCCCTCAGCTGATCCGCGGGGCGGGGCAAGCTGGCGTGGGCTCTCTGCGATTGGCCGGAGGCGACACCCACCGAGATCGGCGGCTAGAGCGGAGCCTGGAGCGGCTGTAGAGAGTGGTGGCGTGGAGGCGGAGAGCGCGTGCGCAGACTGGAGCGAGAAGCCCGCGACTCCATGTTTTATGCTGGCCTGGTGCACTTTACCTCTTCAGGAGGACGGAAGCAGCTGCTTTCGGCGCCATGTTAGGTTGGGGCAAAATGGACCTAACTGGCAGTCGAGGTCTGGTGACCAGTGGTTAAACGCTAGGCACGTAAACTAACCAACAGTGATTCCAACCAACAGCCGCTCCTGTGAAGAAACGCTGTCGGCTTACGTACAGATTCTATCCTTAGACCCCTATGGGGGAGTCGGAGGGCACCAAACAAGTGGAGGCAAATTCGCAAGGTCTCCTTGAAGTACAGATGGTTTTTAGTTCCTTGAGGTACAGTCCACAAGTACATAGATAAATGCACATGGAAACTACTTCGGGTGTCATCTTTCACAGCTCGGACTCCAAGGTGAAAAGAACACAGAGTTCTTAGCAAGTGGAGACACCGCAGTGCCTGCTGGGGTCGACCTCAGACCCACTCCTGCAGGCTGACTTTGCAGCGTCGGTCTCTGACGCGGCAAGTCCCGGTCCTGGGATGTATCCGCACTCCGTGTGCGTACCAGAGAAGGTTGAAGGGTATTCGCGCCGCGCCTGGAGAGGGAAGGACCAAAGGAAAGCTGTGAAAAAAGCCAGCACGGCCCAGCCACAGGTCCCAGGACCGAGGCACAAGTCTGCGCTGCGGAAGATCTCCAAAACGAAATTCAACGATGTGAAGTAGAAACCCATTGGTGTAAAGCAAACTGTGTGTATGCATCTGTGGATACAAGTACGTATGGAATTCTGGTGCTGTAGTGGTTAGGGCGTTTGGCTAACCCAAATGTCAGTGGTTCAAACCCATCAGCCACTCAGTGGAGGAAAGATGAGGCAGTCTGCTTCCCTAAAGATTACACCCTTATCAGGTATGTCTAGGCAGGGGGAGTATGGCCATGACCACTCATAGGGTTAGCTCCAGACATAGTGTTTCCACATGGATATTGTATATGCTGGAAGAATGTGCATGTGTATAGTACAGCTGACAAGGGACAAGGTTGTGATGGCTTCTTGACCACAGCCAACTACCCAGAAGGAGCAAGTAGTTGGACCTGTGGGCTTGGAACCATGGTCACAGGGGACATCAAACTCAATTGACATAACAAAAATATTGTTCTGCATCCTACTTTGGTGAGTAGCAACTAGGGTCTTAAAAACTTGCAGGCGGCCATCTAGATTCAGTGATGGTCTCTCCTTGTCCAGAGCAAAGAAGAATGAAGAAAACCAAAGACATGGAAACAGTTAGTCCAAAGGACTGGAAGACCATGTGATCCTCAGCCTATTTGACCATGAGACCAGAAGAACTAAATGGTGCCCAGCTACCAGTCGACCACTTGGAGGGGGATCTGTGCAGGAGATCCTGGACAGAGTGGGAGAACGATGTGCAACAAAACTCAAAATCATTAAAAAAAAAAAAAAAACGAACCAGCTTTGCTGGTCTGATAAGAGCCTGGTGAGATCCCTGAGACTATGGCCCCTAGTCACCCTTCAGGTCTGGTCTCATGGCTTCCAGCCAAACATTAGGAATATGAGGTGAACATTTACACCAGACAGATACGCTACTTGGAGTAATCAATCGTGGGAGAACAGGAGGGTAGTGTTTGTACAGGGAGACAACTCGGGGTGGGAGTACATGGGAGGAAGGACGCAGGGAAGAGGTAACTACTGGGAGGAAGTAGGAAGAGAGCTGTTACTTTGTGGGGAATTTTAGTCAATGTCAGGAGACAAATGTGTATGAACTGCTGTATGGAAAAATGAATTTGCCCAGTAAACTTTCAGCCAAATCACATTAAAAATTAAGAAAAGATTATAGCCTGGGAAACTCAATGAGAATTGCTATGAGTCAGAACCAAACTCTCAATGGTAATGAGTTTGGTTTTATACAAATATGTTGTTGTTGTTGTTGTTTGCCATCGAGTCGGCCCCGACTCATAGCGACCCCTCCTTGGGTTTCCGAGGCAGTATCACTACGGAAGTAGG